AAAAAGAAAAAGAAAAAAAGGGGGAAGAGTTTAGAGTGCCATTATTTTTATTCCGGTTCCTTTTTTTTTTTTCAAGGCACGCGGTGTTTCAATGGCTTTCGCACCTGTATCGGACCCAAGGATCTGTCAGAAGATTTACGAACTCATGCTCCGATTTACGACCCTCATCCCGTCAGCGGATGCAGGAAAAGAGAAGAAAAAAAGACTGAAAGGTTGCTTTGAAGTCAGGAGATAGAGGTCTCCCTGATGCATAGAATGCTTGGTAGCCGGGGACCTGTCACCGAGCCGGCTAGGCGAACATTTTTCAACCGGGAATAATGACACGTCAGAGAGATATCGACCATCATGACCAGCATCATCTTTCCTTTCGTCGGAGATGTCCAGTTTCAGCAAAGAAGAATAATAATGATGAATAAAAAGAAAAACCAGTTTCCTCGCCAACACATGCCGTGTTATTCTGCGTGGGGGAAACCGAGAAGAGACCTTGGAGGCAGTTCTTCACAGCGACTTTTTTTCCGTTCCGACCTGGATATGACTAAGACCATATTCATGCTGGCAACCCTGACTTAAGTCCATCGGTTCCCAATCACTCATGAGCTCGAGAGGGGAGGCTTTTGTTTACCCAGAGGAAGACAGCATTTGCAATGCCCGCTGGCGTTTCCAATCCACTCGTATCCCCCGTCCCCCGCTGCGTTCGTGTCACATCCTCCCGAGTCTTTATTTCTTTTTTTCCCCCGAAATCCGACTTTTCCGGCGAGGATCGAGATCGTCCGAGATGAAGACTTGAAGGGGAGGGGGGATGTCGAAGGAGAGAGACGGAGAGGGGGAGGAGGCTCGTGATTGGTGGAGAGTGTGTAGGCGGGAAACGGCGGGGCCTCTCGCTTCCCCTTCACCTCAGTCTCCGACCATTCCCTTCCCGTGTCACACACGTCTGACCTCCCCTGGCACCGACATTCCATCATTTCTCGGTCTTCTTCCTTCGGCCCCGATTCCTTCGATCTTCCTTGTGATATGTCTGTGGCAGCGGGGGTGCTGCAACCCGTGCATATCATCAAGGGGATGTCTCAGGATCCTCCCACTGAACTCCATGATGTGAGTCTTTTTTTTTCTCTCTCTTCCTCCCGACATTTTTTTCGAGTTGGTGTATTCCGAGTAATTTTCCGTGTTTGTGCATCTGGCTGAACGGATTTGCACGCTTCCGTGCGATTTGATGAGGTCATCTGGTCCCGAAATCGCTCAGATGCGTGGTTCATGGCGTCCCCGTGGACCTTGGAAAAATCCCTGATGGATATCCCCTTTTTCTGGATGTGACTCGGGAATAATCCGCACATTCAACACCATAACATGATTAATGGGTACTCGATAAGCCCAGTTCACATATAAATTCCACGGTCGAAATTTTTCCTGCGGCTTTCGGCAGGCAACCCGCCGTCTTCACCCTAACATACGTCACGTCCCCTCGATATTTAGGCAAATCCGCGAGGAATCTGCCGCGGACGATAAAGACCTCGCGATCGGGAACCGAGATAAGACCCGAAAAGAGCGAAAAAGGGAGAAAAGCCGTGGGGGTGGCGGCGGCGCCACGCTGCCTGGCCTGGCTCAAAAAAAAAAAAAATCTCCATAATGGATCAGGTGCAGAGGGAAAAGGGTTCCCCCACTTCTTCGGATGACAAGTCGCGTCAAAAAAACTCAAGGAGAAAATCGGGAAATCCTTATCTCAAACGAGCGAGGAAGACAGATGTTTCCCACGCTCCGGTCTTCTTTTTAAAAGATATTGTCACTTAACGCATTAAAGCCCCATGTCGCATCTGGAAGACAAAGCTAATCGCGCCTAATTCTCACCTTGTCGTACCCACCACGGGCCAGTTCTCACCCTCGACGGACGACACAATTCATCACCAGCTCGCCGAGCGGAAACTTACGCGGTTTCCTCGAGACCTGGAAATCCCCATTCGATCCTTTTCTCCCTTTCGATATTTGAGTCAAAACCGAGCTGTCAGTCCTGCAGCCGAGGGAAGATTGACCTGGGCACGAAATGAACTTCTGACCTCTAATTTACTAATTTCATCGTACTTTTGCTCGTCTCCTGAGTTGGTTGCACGTGCCGAAGAATCAGCGAGCCTGTTTCTAAACTTTCTTCCCCGGCCAAAAAGTTGCAGTAGACTCCTTGTAGTAGCGGTGTTTCATCGTCGCTAAACCATTTTCTTTTTAATGTAAAAAGTAATTCCTGTCGTTGAACCGCAGGTTTCGGGAGCCACGGTTGGAACCGCGGATTAATGTTTTTTTCTTCTTCTTCCACGCATTCGGAAGTTCTGGTTTGGTGATTTCGTTAATCAGCAGTTCCACTCGTGGGCCCCGATACCCGCGCATTAGCGACAGGGAATTGGAGCTCGCAAACCGTTTAGTTGGACGGACGACTTTTGAGTCGCGCAAGTCAAAGAAAAAAGAAAAAAGAGAGTTCGACCGATCTTCGATTTCCGACCGAAACCAGAAAAATCCGACAGAAAAATCTCCGAACCGAATCGGCAGACCCAGTTCGGCCTCTGCCGCCGCTTCGGCCCCTCCACGTCGCCCCACGTGCCTCCCTGATAGCCATGGCTACGAACGAGGCAGAAAGAAGGAAAATAAAACAAAAGAGACATAAAGCGAAGAAGAGGCGCCGCCGATGTGAACCCACCACAAGAGAAGGCTTATCTCCGGGAAAAAGTCAACTATTTATTCTGCGAGCTCCGAGAGAATATTATCACTTTTCCCACTTCAAACAACCCATCTTTGTTTCTTTCTTCTCTTCCACGCATTCGAGACCTCTCCCCCACCGGGTATTGACGTCAAGGGCTCATTTTTGGATCCAATATTTAAAAGCCAGGCGCTCTTGGGGTCTTTTTAAACGCCGATCCGCGCCCAGACCGCAAACACCGTCATCGATCCCCTTTCATCGCCGATGATAAAGGGAGACACGATCAGGCGAGGCATGATCGTCAGGCAATCAATCGTGCAATCGGTGCCACGTGTCGGGATCTTCCCCTCATCCACCTGCGGAATCGTCGCCCCCCACCCCCCCCCCCCCCCCCCCCCCCCCCCATCCACCTGCGGCACCGTCCCCCACCTGCAGCATCGTCGTCCGAGTCCGGCTTGTTCCCCCATCGATTCGCACGGCCTTCTTCTGCACATCCGACCCCAATCCCGTTAATGGAAGGGTCGCTAATGAATCAATTACGTCCTCTGTGCGTATGCATCTTCCCCCGCTAATGGCGGGGGATTGCATTTTAATTTGCGGAGTCCATTGTGACGAGAGACGGAGGAAGTTTGAGTTTAACACGCCTCGACTGTCGTCGACGGTTTTCTCTCTTCTATAACCCCTAGATTTGCATACAAAGGGCAGGAAGTTGGCTGGGGGGGGAAGGACTAAAAAGCTACGATGGGGAAGTGCAATGGGGGGAAAATAACCCACCAGTCCTTTTTTTTTTTTCTTTTACTTTTTTTCTTTTTTATTATTATTCTTTTCTACCACCTTTATTCCGCTGGATGGCACTTCGGAATTTTTTTTTTTCTCTCCGAGGTACATGCGTGTATTGCAAAGGCTAAGATGGAACAATGGGTCTCTTGAGGGATGCCTGCATACAAATACAAATCTGATGAAGTCTTCGAAATGTGCCTCGTCACGTTGCTCAGCCGATCCCGATACCCATCTCGCATTGTCTTCACCTCGTCCGCCGGCCGTAATAGATAACCCGACCCCAGGTTACATGGATTCCTGGAAGTTTTGATGGAAAAAATTCAGGAATTCTCCGATCGGATTCGGTCGAAGAAAAACGATCCGGACCCGGGTCAGTCGGATTAAATCTTCGGTGTCAAAGACTCGGGATGGGTGGAGTGCCCAACAGGGAGAGAAGAGACTCATTATGCTGTGTTCTCGTTCTCCCACGTCCGTTTCACACTCGGTCCACCGGAATAATGAGGTGAATGAATGTGAATTTACCAGAAGGAAATTAAAGGTAGTAGATAAGAATAGGATCCGGTAGCAGAAAAGAATCGTTGAACTCTTGAAGAGATGTAAAAAGTATCGGTATTAAAAGGAATGCTATGGAATTTCGGCATTAGGACAAGAACAGGAATCGGCAGGAGGATTTTTCATTTTTTCAATAATCTCACACCGCCACCCATTTAGTCATCTACATCGCCCCACGAAAAAGATACATTAGATCCCACTGCATCTGCTCCTCATAAGTAACTCCCTCGAGCATCCGCCGTCGTAATGTATGGAAGTCAAAAGGAGCCCGAAGGGGAAGCCAGTCAGGGGGAAAAGGAATGGAGAGGGGAGGATGGAGGAATGGCATCCGTTCGGCATGTATAGGAGATGGCCGGGGGGTCCATCCTTCGACTTTTGATAGTGATGTTTGAGGAGAAGAAGACGGTGAGTGACAGACAGGTCGGACAGCGATAAGAGACCGTGTTTGCCCCCTAATGGACTTTAGCCTCACTCAACCAAATTGCCCTCTTCCCTGCAACAAAGCGCCGCTCGCCCATTATCAAATTTACTTCCCCATCTATTAATCTCTCCGCGCGCGGCCTGACCAAAAAGGGCATTACCGTAATGAAAATATGATCTGACTTTTGCGCCATTGTTGACGGAATAATCTTCAGTTCCGTGCCGGCGATCTCGGCAAACACGGTCGGGGCCTTATTTTCGGCGTTCGGCGAAAATTGCGTTTTAATGGCGGAGAACGACGTTCGATGCGTGGCACGACGGGCTTCTCCTCCTGATCGGGCTCCTCAATTATTCACGAAGAGTCAACACACGAAGCGACCGCAATAATTTTCCAGGCCTATAACGCCAAGGTCCGGGTACCAGGCACTAGTTCCCTCGCTGTCTTTACGGCGGGTGCATCCCGCGTGCGTGTGCATATGCCTGCGAGTAGGGATAACCTTACATTTTATACCTTCATGTGGACTGCACAATGACATCCTTCTTCTCTCGAGGTAGGCTCCGGTGAACAAGGATGAGCCTTGTCCACTTTCACCCGCATAAAACAACACCCGAGTTCCTCGAATTCTTTCCCTCGTGTTTGCTTTGCATCTCCCCCCCAATTTTTTTCTTAACTCCAACAATAGCATTTTTCTTTTCCCCCGATGTCGTGGCAGACATCGGCGAAGAAAAGCGACTCTTTTTTTTCCCCCAAAAAAGTAAGGTCACACAGACACACGCACACACACAGGGAATAGGGTGCGGTCGGGGGAAAGGGGAGCGATAAGATCCCGGATAGATATAGAAAGAATATTTACGTCATACCAAACGCGTCAATGTCACTCTCATACTGGTCCTCTGGTTCTTCAATAAATTATTACCTACGTTTCACCTCGCGAACATAAACCTATTTCCAATTAGTTTCCAATTTGTTTCATATCATTTTCTCTTTTTTTTCGCTCTCGTAGATGTGGCTGCAGGATTTCGAGAGTGTGTTGCTGGGTGAATCAGCCGGAGTGCAAACCGAGCCCCAGCATCAACCTGGGATGCAAGGGAATCCGCACTGCACTCAGGCCTTCTTGCATTCTCAGTACCCGAATCCTCACCAGGAAACCTTCAAGTACCAGGAGCAGTTCGGTCTGGACTTCCAGTACGGACCTCAGGTGAAACTGGAATCTCTAACCTGCAGTGAACAGAGTGCAGAGACCCAGGAATGGAGTGCAGGGACCCAGGCCTCGCCCTACGGGGGGATGCCCGTGAAACAGGAGCAGACGCCCTATCACGGCGTCCCGCATCGCCTGGACTATTCGAGGTCGTGTGAGGTCGGACAGGAACCTCATCCGTATTATCCAGCTCATCCGTATACCTCCTACAACGCCACCTTCACGATCTGCTCGGCCACGCCGAACCAGCGAAGTTACCATCCCGACGGGACCTTTCATCACGGATCTCAAGAGACCTATCAAAACAACAACGTCGGCGGCAGCAGTAACAACAACAACAATAACTCCCAAGTTGTGAACCAGCAGTCTCGGTTACCGGGAGGTTTCATGACCCCGCCGTCCTCCCCGCACGTCTCGAATCTCTTCCTCCGACCCGGGGTCCAAGGACCTGCCACGACGGGGCCGACCCGTGTCAAACGAGGTCGGAAGCGATGGGGTCGGAAGAAGGTAACCTGCCATCAGTGCTCGTTCCCGGGCTGCACCAAGACCTACACGAAGAGTTCCCACCTGAAGGCCCACCTTCGGACCCACACCGGCGAGAAGCCGTACGTGTGCAGCTGGAAGGGTTGCGGCTGGAAGTTCGCCCGTTCCGACGAACTCACCCGTCACTTCCGGAAACACACCGGGGACCGGCCTTTCCAGTGCAGACTCTGCGAGCGCGCCTTCTCCCGCTCCGACCACCTCTCCCTTCACATGAAGCGACACGTTTCTCTATGAAGACGACGTCGTCATCTCTTTATCTCTTCAAGGCACATCATCCTCTTCAGCAATAAGTTGCCCGTGCAATCTCGATAATATTCCTCGCTTCCCTCACATTCCTGCGTGTGATATAAAGAAAAGAAATCCTGTCGATACGCTCATTGGGAAAAGGGACGTAACGAAACTTCGTAGAATAGAGATGGTTTCATTTGTTTTATTATTATTTAATTTTTGTTTCTGGGGGGGGGGGGGGGGGGGGGGGGGGNTCGAGACGTGCGGGGAGGACGGGGGGGGGGGAATTGGAATGAGCACGGCTACAACCATGGGGGAGCTTTCCTTGTTACCCCCTAGCCATAGCAGCTGTAAAACCGAAAAAATTTCCAACGGACTTTCGTAATGTCCCTTTTTCTCTTTCGAAATGAGCTTATACGGCAATTTACACTATATATTATACACGTTATATTCCGTAGAATGGAGACATTCCCTAGTAGCTGTGATATTTCGACTCCCCGTCATATCACCTCCAGACGTCATTACGCCATGTCGGTGTTCCCTTTTTTTTTTTTCCTACCACCACTACCACGACCGCCATCACGGAACGGTCGTGAATGTAAATAAGGGAATCGGTGGATAGGTCGAGTGTGCATGGATGAGGCCTGAAGAGTCAACAGGGTCTCTGGTCATGCAACCGTGCGTCAATCTTCACCTGTGATTATGATCCCCCCCGCGCCCCCTTGGGAATCTCTTCCCCCGCTCGCACCGTGTTTGCTATCGGCGGTTTTCACGCAACCCGCATATATATGTCAGACAGCTCCTTTTTGTCTTTGTGCGCCTCGATCTAGACACGTTTGCATTGTACATATCTTGGTACAGGTGGAAAAGAGTATTTGAGAGAGCCGTCTATAAAGATGGACAGACGTTGTTCCCTGCACGCTGTATTTTATTCCACCCCGTCCCGCCACTGCGGTTTCTCGGTTAACCACGGGATCCCTTGCGGTTTGATGGAACCGCAGCACCTGTCCGTCAAAGAAGGAAAGAGGATCCGTTAATGGATGAGATGTTTTAATTAGGATGAAAGCCCGACGAGGAGGACCCAGGAGACTGTATCACCTCACCATGCAACCCCGTATCACGTGTGTATATAGGCAGGAGTCATGCGAACCGCGAATTACCCTCAGTAAGGGACATTCGCATTCGAAACGGCTTCCATGAAGAAAGAAAGAAGGAAAGAGAAGGCGCATACTCATACGCTGCAGGAGCACTCCGGAAATCCACTATTAACCTTAAAAGTGTAATTTGCTCCGGTTGACTTGGAGATGCAGGAGGGGGAGGGAGAAAGAAAAAGACTTGCACCTCTCCCCGAGAGGAAACAAAAATCCGAACGTGACCTCACGGAGACCTTTGAGCCTTGAGCCTTTACTGCGAATTTTGCAATAAACATCAGGGGGGACGCTCCGATTGCGACGAGGAGATAAGTACTAGTCCTTGGATAGTCCGTAGTTAAGGGTCCTCGAAGGCCACCCCCATACACGGAAAAAGTATAAATGCGTGCCTCGTGAGAGAGACAAAACAAACAAGTATTTATAGATGCACCTCTTGACCTTTTATGCCCAGTTGTCCATGTAACCGTAGAGAGAGAGCGTAAGAGAGAAAACGTGGGTCTATATAGTCGAGTAGACCATACAGGAGAGCTTATTACACCCTCGGCTTGTCAAGCGATGACGACGTTTTCCTCCCTCTTTCTTTAGATAAATCCTTCCTTGCAGTCTGAAAACGTCTCCTCAAGCAGGACGTCGTTTCTCGACGCAGGATGATGATAATTATTTTCAGCGCATCCCCGGTTTCGACACATCCCCGAATGAAGACATCATCGACCACTTCTCGTTTTTGATACCGGGCGATCCGGAACGGATTCTCGGGCGGGAACGACGTCAGCGCACACGACCGTTCCGATTGGCCGCTTCCCGCGACACCTTCCACGCGGAACCAATCGCGTCGCGCCTCCCGCCTGACGTCACCGCAAAGTTCCTCGACATCCACTTTAAATGGATCTTCGGGCGAGAAAGCCACGTGGCGTCATCCGTGTGCATACGGGGAAAAAGGGGATCGGCTCTCGAAAGGCGAGAGAGAGGAAATGACGAAGGCCAAACGAATGAATGAGTGGTCAAGAGGAAGGGGAGGGAGAGCGGAAAGGAAATGGAATGAATGAATCAGAGAGAGAACCCCCCGAATCTCCTGTTTGATTTAATGGTCGCGTGTGCTTATAGGCGTGACAACGTCACCGGATTTGCATCTCCTAAGAATACGACATAGCAGGTGCCGGGGCCCCTTCGGCCCCCTGACACCTGCAATCGCCCATCCTTTATGCCTCTCGGTCCCCGACCCTCTTTCGGCCTTTACGACTCCATTTCGGACACGAGCCTTCTTGGGGAGTCCCCCTCGTCACCGGGAGAGAAAGGTGTAGAAAGAAAAAAAAAATTGTCTAGGTAAATTGAGAAAAACATTTATCTCGCGATCTGGTCCCCGACCAGGTGTTCGACCATCGAAAAAGTTCTCTTTGTCATCCCGGGGAAAGGTCTAATCTTGAATGATGACCCTGAGAAACAGGCTCGGGCCTCGAAACGACCCGTCTCAGGTTATAAAAGGCAACACCTGCCCTTTCGTATTTCCTTTCTGCATCTTCGCCGACCCACCCCCACCCTCTTCCTCTCTCTCTCTCCCTCGTCTCTCGACACCGCAGCATCCGCATCCTCTCAGGCCTTGACTCTACCTCGTCCCATCCCCACCCGGCATCATCCTCGGCCTTCCAGGCGATCCTCGTCGGGGGTGGTCGAGGGCTAATTCTGACTGATGACCCATCCGTCACCCTTTTCCTCACTCTTATCCCTTCTTCCCCCCACCCCCACTTCGCTGCGCACTTGACACGCCGTGAATCCTAATGAATATCCTCGCGCTCTTCACGCCGAAAATCGGAGGAGACAGCCCGTCTCCTGGCGAGAGTCCACAAAAAAAAGAGTCGAAACTATTCCAGGAATCCGAGTCGTTCCATATTGACACACGCACACGAACGGGCGCGTGCCTTCTCCGAGTCCATCCGTCCACCAAACAGACGCACGCACACACCCGAGACACACACGCACACCCCGAGCACACTTCCTGAGCACAACGCTTAATTGGAACGCTAATGAGTCGACCTTAATGAATTGTTTGCCCAGGGAGACATATTATAGAGAATTAGGGATAATTATCCGTCGTAATGGGAGAATGCAAACATTCCTGATGACTTTTCAATGATTTTTTTCTCCCATTTTCTCCCTCAGAAATATCACTCATTCATTAGTTTCAACCCGGCCTGGAGTCATGCATGAGGTCTCCGGAATGTTTCCCACGCATAATCCAAATCATCCCGATCGCTATCCCCGCTTCCGCCCCTGATCCCCTTCATTTTCCCGTGGGAACGGCCCGAGCCGCCCCGATTGGCCGGGTGCGAAACTGCATCCGGGCCCCGTGATTCCACCAATCCCGTCCCCCATCGATTTCTGCGCTGCCAAGACGCCACCGAACGGACTGTAGAAGCCTTCCATAATGAGGCTCGCGACCGAAAACGCAGCTCCTCCACCCTCTTTCCCTACATGCAGCCCAATTTTCTCCCTCCTCGTGAATAATGGACGCCAGAATACAGGTGGAATGCAAACGGATTACCAGTCGCTCCTAATTGCGGCATTTCGCGAAACGTTACAGAGGGGGTGCATTGTTTGGCAAGTGTCATCGTTACACCGGTCCACCCAATTGATGGAACCTACATAGGCACGAGAAATTATCGTTCCAAGCCCCGTAACCTCCACCGCAAATGGGTCAAGGCATTTATTTCTTCGATGTTAGCACACCAGCAATTACATATTTGTTACCATTCATTTCAAGTAATACATCGACACCCTGATTCACCGGAGCATGAACGAACAAACCAAGACGGAATCGGACGCACACCAAACGCCTCTCATCCCGGTGAAAGTGGCACGACAAAGCCACCCGCCAGATGTCAGCACCCTCCAACCGCCCGAGCACCCCGAGCATTTTCCCCCCCGTTAAATTATTCACCTTCCCCCCCTCCCCCCCCTTCCCCCATGACCAGCGGGCTGAAAGGGCTCCTCGGAGCGAGACGGCGCGGATGCCATGCATGGACACGAATATCCTCTCACGGGACAACAAAAACAAAAGGAAGAAGAAAAAAAATCGGAAGTGATTAGCGAGAATCATTAAGGGCACATCCGATCTGACCTTTATCTCCTTCCCCGTAATCAGAACCTCCTCAAAAAAAAAAAAAAAGATGGGGGTGATGGATGTCCTCCTGTCTCTCAACCTGACATAGACACACTCCAGCTCCAGGATCATTAACACTTTCGAATCTCTCATTAGACCGTCACAACATGAACCCTTATATAGGAAGGAAACGCTTGTTCTCGGGACGAGATAAAGGTCATGAAAGCACAATATATGTATATATATGACTTTTTCATTATAAGAAATCGCTTTCCGCTGTTTTGAGTCACTCGTTCATTGTTTCTCTCGACTGTGAAACTTCGAGACGGCCTGGAATTCCTCGTCATGGAAATGGTCGGAAGCTGATTATCCAAGGATTCTGTTCGTCAAGAAACATTCAAACACGAGGCAATCTCCTCAACGCGTTCACCGTGTTCCCCGTTTCTCTCGAGCACCGTCGAGAGAGAAATCGCCTCCAAATCGAACTAAGAACCCGCCGATCCCCAAGAACCTCGTCGGAAAATGCTAAGCTCCACCCATCGCACTTTTATCATGGAGACAGCCCTGGAACAGGCGCAGACGACGTCCTCCCACCCCAGAGCCATCTAGCGAGCGTGACGCGAACCGAGCCCCCCCCGATCATCGGGGTCATCCTCGCTTCCCCCCCTGCAAAATCGATCCCGAGGAGAAAGGGAAACGGAAATCTGCAAGGAAACGACTTCCTGGCGGTCTCCACGCATCACCCGGCAAATTTCCCTCTCCCAGCGACCTTTAAACGCCGTCGCCCCTCAAGGACTTCCCGCGTCATCGCAAACACCGACGACTTCGTCTCTGTTTCCCCTTCCTCGTCAGGGGAGAGGAATTCGCGCGAGGACGGAAGGAAGTAGTTGCTCATCACCACTGGCGGCGATAAATACGAAATCAAACATTTCCGGGGAACCCGACGTGATTCACCGGCCCGCATCTCCCGCTTTATTATCATCTTCTTCCTTCCTCCCATCCTTCCTCCCGTCCTTCCTCTCTCCCTCCCTCCTTCCTCTCCTCCCTCCCTCTCGAGCTCGAAGCCAATTACATTATTCAAATTCGTACGCTATCGCCGCGAGGGAGACTTATTTGCAGGAGGAAAAATGAATAAAGCGGAAAAAGATCCAGGTCATATAAGTGGAAAAACTGCTTTTTTCTCCATAAATAATGGCCTCCCCCCCCCCCCCCCCCCTCTCCCCCCCCCCCCTCTCTCGAGTCGATATGCAAGTGGGGAAAGGAATTTTTCCTTATCCGAAAAATCCTGGCCAAAATATGTCCATCTCCCTCGTTCGCCTTGAATCCTCCAAGGCCGGAGATTTGTCTTGTAAAGGACCACGAAAGTAAAGGATAAAGCCCCATCGCGAAGAGTTACGACGACGGGGATCATTTCCTTCTGGATTACTGTCTCCTCACGGTGAAGGGAAACGAATAAGGGAACGACGTACGGAGCAATAAAGCACACGATTCCTTATAGGAAAAAACCAGATAACTGTACGATACAAAATTATAATATAAATAAATAAATAAATAAATAAAAAATATATATATATATAATATATAGATATAAAATAATCTACGATTTATGGGGGAGGGGGAAACATTTTTAGCCCTTGCAGCACGCAAAATACGCAGTATAATATAAATATGAAGACCTCCGAAAGTCCAACAACACTCAGCGATAAATCTCAGCATGATTTTCGCATCCAGCGGCAACTGTGGAAACTGCACTGCCATCATTTCTTTCGACTTCGTTTTCGCCGCTTCATATGAAGTCATCTGGTTCCGATTTTCCAAAAGATTTCGGTTGGCCCCAAAAGCAACCGACGGACAACGATCATCAGACGATAAATTCCGACTCGCGACGGTCGGGATTCCGCGTTTAAAACTCAACTAACTCGATCGCGCGACTCCATTCGACTCCGACGATATCGTTCGACAAGGATAACACGAAAAGTCGACAAAATAAACTAAACGCAAACAATTCCTCTGTTCCCATATATACATATATATGTATTGGATGATATTGGGGAGCCTGGAATGCGGGGGAGACGGAGGGAAAAAAAAGCCAGAGCCAGGCAGACGGAGAGACAAGCTATTAAAAATGTCCATTTTGAGAAAAACGAGTGACACGACGCGTCGCTTTCCCCATCCCCCAAAATTGGCAATCGCTACCGGTTTCCGTCATAATTGGACCTGCAGGCCTGTCAGGCTTCGGTTCATCAATTAGGGATGACTCATACTTCCCCCCCCCCCCCTTTCTCCTGTGATGAAATATGTCTGCCTTTTGACGCTCATGAAAAAAAAAAAACAGACAAAACTATTCGAGGAAAAATAAAAGAAAAAAATGCATTTTTCTTTAAAAAAAAAAACTTAAAAAAATATATACATATATTTTTTTAATACAAGAAAATGCTTTTAAAAAAAGAATGAACAGAAAGGGGGAAAGTGCGTTACATGCCTTGGGGCATTCCCCCACTTGCATCTCAACGAGGTGCCGTATCGAACGGGGGAATCTCCGGCCAGATTACGCGGGGGAAACCATTACATGAAGCCGTCTCGCGTGCTGCCAGGTTCCCCCCCCCCCCCCCCCCCCCCCCCCCCCCCCCCCCCCCCCCCCCCCCCCCCCCCCCCCCCCCCCCCCGC